AAAAAACCCTTCTCACGCCTATGGATGTTATGTGTCTTCCTTAATCTCAGGTCCTTTACCAGAAGCCCAGGAATTTGAGGGTTCTGCGCAGTATCTTAGCTGTTCTGGCACTGCACTCTTCTGGACAGAGAGCTCTGATGTTGTTTCTGGGATCTGTTGGAGCCACTGTCCCAGCTTAAGAGTCATAGCCCCGAGTGCTCCTACCACCACTGGGACCACTTTGGCCTTTACTTTCCACATCCTTTCTAGTTCTTTCTTCAGGCCCTGGTACTTCTCCAACTTCTCATACTACTTCCTGATGTTGCTGTCACTTGGCATTGCTACAGCTATCACCTCTGCTGTCTTCTGGTCGTCTACTACCCCGATGTCTGGATCTGGAAATCCCACAGGATGTTAGCCCTGTTATTTTGTAGCAGCTGCAGATTCTAGGTTATCTTCAAAGGCAGCTCCACTAAGAGTAGTCCATTTGCATAGTAATAAAGGCATGAGTTGCTGTCAATGATTCTTCCTGGTTCAGGTAGAATCATAACTGGTGCTTCAGGGGAGCTAACCCATCTGGAACAACCAATGTAGCCTATATTCCTGGAAGACCTTGATGTTTACCACAGTTTTGATAGAGTACAATCTGAGCTTGTTCCCATCCATTTCTACATAGCATATGGGCACTGGTTCAAGATTTCAACAGCTTCTCTAGTCTGAGTTGGTGTGTTACAATTGAAGGCCGTAATCATACTCATGATACCCTACCTTAAAACAATAGATAATGTCTCCCAGCTGTTACATATAAATGTTAAACAACATAGGAGAGAAGACTGAGTCCTGGGTTACTCCACATTGGAGCAACCAAAGATTTGATCACTATTTCATCATGACTATCAACTAAAACCACCCATTCAGGGAGGAGCAGAACCATTGTAGAACAGTGACCCTATTTCTTGCAGATAGTCTAGAAGGATAGTGGTCAAGTGCTGCCAAGAAGTCTAATAGGACCAGGAAGAATACACTTGACCTTCCATTCCAGCTCATTCACCAGAATGGCTAGTGCTGTTTCTCTTCCATATCCAGGCCTAAACCCTGACTGGAAGGAATCTAGATGATTTGCTTGTTCTAGGATCTTTTAAAGCTGATTCCCCATCACCTTCGCAAGAAACTTTTCTCAGATAGGGAGGCTGGAGACAGGTGGAAGTTCTCCAATACGTTGTGATTGAGAAATGGCTTTTTCAAAAGGAGGATTGAGAAATGGCTTCTTCACTGCCTCTTTCCAAGCAGGTGGCATCACACTCTTTCCTCAGAGTGTCATTAGCCACATTGAATTGCACATATTCTGCCAGAGGAACCAGGCAGGGCATGGACCCAACCCTCAGGAGCAGAGCTTATACTACAGAGCTGTCTATTTCATGTTTCCACAAGCTCTAAAGTATCCTAGATCACAATGCAAAATGTCACTGCACTTACCTCATATGATTGCTTACAGCTAGTACCCAGCCTTGAGCAAAAATGAACTTGCAAAAATGTATAAAATCATTTGGTCTGCAGGCATTATATCTTGCCCATCTTTCTCTAACAGGATCTGGACTATTCAGAGCAGGGCTACCAGGCAAGAATCTGTAGACACAATAAGAGCCATTATTATAGCTGCTATTTAGGCTTGTACTAGTAGATGGTTATATTCACTTTTTCTTTTGTGGCATCTTTATTGGGCAACTTTTCACTTCATCTTTGGAAAGTTCTTTGAATTTTTTTTCTGTGTTTTGGTCATTTCTTTCTCACAAAGACCAGCCTATATCCATCAGGAGTCTGGGGTGGGCCATCCTAAATAGTGCCTTGGAGAGGTGCAGGGTGCTTAACGATCTACAGCCTAACCAGAGAGAGTCCCTTTGATCATAGAAAAGGACAGATATCAATATCCTATATATCCAGGTTACTCATCTATTCTTAAGTAAAAGCCAGATCCAGTATATGCCTGCCTTCATAAGTTGTGGCTGAAATTACTTGAGCTATGCCCACAGTTCCAAACCAAAGAAAAGTATTTCATTATATCTAGAAGATATTTACATACTGATTATTTTAAAATATTGTTCAAAATAATTTTGATTACCTTAGTTTAGATGGTGTAATCTATTTAATATTTTACCTTTATCATTTAAATATTTATATTTGCTGACTAGTGTTAGATTAGTTGTGAGCCACCATTAGTCCCTTATTGAAGCAGAAAGGCTTTCTACTTGTTTATATTTGATAAAAATAGATTTAACAAATTACATACTATAGTTATATAATCAAACTTACTGTGTTCAGCATACCAGTTAAAGTACCAGCAAGCATTAAGGCAAAATAAATTTTGCTTAACATTGTCTTTTCCATTTGGTTTTGTTTTACTGCTTGTATTTGGACCAGACATAAATGCTAAAATGTTTTTGTTATCCGAAGGCTTTTCAAACAAAGGATATATTTGTTTTGTATAGCCAGAAAAGCAAGTCCTGTTTTTCTTTCTTTCTTTGCATTCTGATCAAAGGAAAACTTGCAGACAGTTGTGTAAGCAAAATTACATTAATAATAATGTTAAATATATATTATTTCCATTGCTTTTTTCATTAAGTATATGGGAAATGTAGTTTAGATTTGTATAATGTGCACTAAAGCCATGTTATAGAGCACATAATAAAGTCACAGTAAAAATACAGTAATTTTTTTGGAGACTGTTCAATAAAGCAAGCTCTAGTTTTTGATATATTCCCCTAATGCAAAATCATAAAATATCTCTGTGTAGTTCACAATGAAGCAAGTAGTCTGTATCTTAAGACAGTTTTTCATTATTAACATGTTTTTATTTTTATTAGGAGTCTTCAAAGATTGATCATGGTTGGAAAAGACTTGAACACTGTAAATACTGCCAAGACAAAATTCAATACAGTCATTTGCAGTAAGAAAGCAATGATTTAAAAATAATGAAATATTGGTAGATCCTGGTGTCTGCTTCAGAGAAAACTCAGTGAAGCCCCACAAAAAACAGTTATAGGTATAAACAGATATCATTTTACTGATGAAGGATATACATTCCCCTCCAAAGAATAAGAGAGGGTGAGAAGACAAAAGCTTCCTGGGGATGTATGTCCCATTGCACTCAGTTGAACTTATTTCTGAATAAATATGCATAGGATTAAGTTCTTAATGATGTATAGTAAAGACAAAATAATGTCTATAACAAATTTCAGAGGAGTAGATAACATTAGCCTCTTATAGCAAAAACAGTTAAATATATATTGATACCTCAAACTAGCATATTAATACTGGCATACCTTTTCATAGACTAGAGCCCACAAAATCAGGTACTTTGTGTTGTAAATTAGGACAATGCATACTTCAAAATGGTGATTCACTTTAAAGCAGATTCAGTCAAGTCATCACTGCACATGCAGGTAGTCCTTGCTTAATGACCATTTGTTCAGCAACAGTTTGAAGTTATTACAGTGCTGAATGAGTGGTAGTTACAACTGGTCCTTGAACTTCCAGCCATTGCAGCACCCCCATGGTCACATGATCAAAATGTGGGTACTTAGCAACCGGCCTGCATTTACAACTGTCGCAGTGTCCCATAGACAAGTTCTTCTGTCCTTCGCAAACTGCCTCTGCTTCAACTCCCCCCACCCACCTATCTCCCCCCCATCTCTGCCCTTTTGGCTGCCCTGCACTCCACCGCCTACCCCTGCTACCCTCACCCCCAGTTGACCTTCGCCAACTTCTTCCTCCTGCTGCTGGCCCCAGATCCAGGCACTGGGAGAGGGCGCAGTCCTGGGATGCACATGGTAAGTGTGGCAGAGCAGTGGACCCTTGTCTACTGAAGGGAGCTCACTGGGCCTGGACGGGGAGGAGGCAGTGGGATGGAGATGGTGGAGGAAGTGGAATGGGAGTGTGGGTGAAGGAGCCCTGTCTTCTGCCACTGGCACGAGGAGTGATAGCCTGCAGACCGTGAAGAGTGCACTGGGAAAGGTGGGTGAGGTGCAATATGCTCTGCCACTGGGTGAAGCAGGAGAGGCAGTGATGGCTCCCCAGGTGAAGGTGGTGGCTGTGTGGGAGGTGCTGTTTGGGGTGGCAGCAGAACTAGAGGAAACGGAGGGATGAGGGCTTCCCAAAGGTGCAACACCTGCTCTGCAGCTCACATTGGAAGTGCTGCTGGGGAACTGGCAACAGGAGGTCCTCCAGATGCTGGAGCTGCTCCTGCGGGAGGAAGGGTGTACTCAGCCAAGGCAGCTGCTGGCCCTTCACGAGGCCTTAGAGGAGGAAGGGTGGGTCGAGTGAGCAGAGGGCCTGTCTGCACTGGGTTCACCTCCACTCCTCCCTGAAGCCCACAGGCCCTCTGCTCACTCAGCCCAGCCCAGCAACCGCAACCAGGACTGCTGTCACTAAGCAGCGC